GCTGTGTAAAACTGGTTATAACCAGTATACTGAATCTTCAGTCTCGGTTTGTGGATCGGAAGCAAGAAATGGTTTCATCAGAACAAGAATTAAAGTCAGAAAATAATTACCAAATTTTGATACCAAATGTCAGTATTTTCGCGAAAAAGAAGATCTCATTTCTACCAATAAACACTCCTGAAGTTACTTAAAGCATATGATTTACTATTAAATATGTTTACGTTTCACGTTAATTTTACTAAAATAAACTTTTTATTTATAAATAATGCTATTTTTATTACTTTGATTAAAGTAATATTTTTTTAGAATTTTCAAATCTTCGAGACAGATGCGCCACCTCAAGATATTAAAAAATTGGAATATTTTTTCGATATTTATTCATTTTACGCCTTTAGTCAACAATTAATAATATAGGAAAAATCAATTAATAAATTTAATAAAATTCACTCCACCCTACTGTATACAGTTTATTGTATATATTTGTCCTTTTTCTCCTTTTCCGGTAAGTCATCAAAATTCTCAATTAAAGCAACGGAGATTTTTTCCCAAGCCTTTTGCCTACAGTTTCGGTTTTTATATTCGTCCGAAGTATCCCATATATTTTTGTTTTCGTGTACTGCACTTATTAATAGTTCTGTATCAATATTTAACTCCATGTCGTTCGAGTGCATTTGCATAAATGCGTATGAATAAACCGGCAATTCAGCTCTCCAGCCAACGCGCGACGCTGCATGTGAATAGAACGTATCACCACCATGCCCAAACGCCTAACGTAGCTACGTCAGGCGTACGGGCCACGCGCTAGCCCGCGCTGTAAATTTCACGCGCGCGTACACGCCGCCCGTACACGCCCGCATCTGAAATGTACAATTAAACTCGATGCCAACCAAGTTTTTGGCGTAGGGCGTAGGGCGCGTCATACGCTTCATGTGAAACGGCACTAATAGTAATTAGTCCAACGCATTGCTTATAGTCAGCAAGGTTATTGAAAGCCAGTTAATGTTGAAACAGTAATATTTAGGTTGCGCAAATAGGGGTTTATGGCTTATTATATAAAAGGCTTTACTATGGTCTAATAAAACCAATCGTTTTACTTAGTAGTTGTCTGTATCCCTAGTAATGTCGTTAGTGCTATTTAATAATAATGTATATGTACTAAAATAACGTTTAATGGATGGTAAAATATTTATTTCAGAAAAGTTTATTATTTGATTGTAAATTCTTTTTATTAATTTTGTCTGCATTATTTATATTGTATACTTCAGGGTGATTTGTAAAGCTATTACTTTCCATTCTGGTTAAAAAAAATTAATTAACTACGTTGGCTCGATGCGATCTTGCGTTATTGTCCATATACAAAAACTTTGTATAACTTTGGCTCTGTACTACAACTGTGTATTATATTTGGTAATAGGTATATTGCTACTCAGCAATATTGCAATAGTCATGAAACACTTAAGTAGTTACACAATTAAAAGGTTGATGTCTTAGCCACGTGTCGTCCTAATTTGAGCACAATACAGAGGCGTACACGGGGCACTACAAACTGTTGACCCATTTGACGAGAGAGAAAGAAACAATATTCCAGAATTCTTTCCAAGTATCGCAAACCGTAATTAAACTACCACCGAAAGGTGTAAGGTGTAAAGCCAACCGTACAATCTTCTTCATAACGGGATTTTTAGAAAACCGTGATTTATCTTTGAAAAGATATTGGCCCAGTCATTTGCAGCCCAGTTTTAATAATTCAAAGCAAATTCTAGGCGTCGCCCTTTGTGCTTACGAGTCAACTTTGGATGCCTAGATAGCCGTCTGAAGTGAAGTCCACCCTCATGCAGTATTTTTTTTTAATGTTGGTAACATTAGTTTTCCTGATCTGCAAATAGGTTCTCCTAAGAAAATAATTGTTTGATGTATTTGTTAATCTTTGGCGCCCCACCCTATGTGAAATTGTGGAGAGTTATGGTATTTTGGTATTTTTGGGGCGATTGACTATACTGTAGGTATGCAATATTGAAGCGTCGAGCTACTTCCTTGCGAGAGACACCAGCTATGATTTCTTCAAGAACTGCCCCTTTTAAACGCGGCATATTTTCAAACAATTCAATTTACACATGTATGCCAGAACAATATTATTTCCAAAGATATCTCTATTTTTCACGCAAATAGACATAAGGTGTATAATGACGCATTACTACCGCCGCATCTTCTCTGCTACCAGTCAACAGATGTAAAGTTACCAAAGGTAGGTATTCTCTCTGTCCTCAAAGAACATAAAAGACCCTATAGTGCTTACTTAAGGCCATTGCAAGCCTAGGTACGACACAAGAAAATTAAAAATTGATATCTTCAAAGGCTAGTGAGTTATGACAAAAATTTCAAAACATCATGGATCCTTAAGATATTAGGCTCTATGATGACCTTGCAACGAAATATTTATTTACATTCTGTACCTCAATAAATTTTTATAAAAATTATAGATTTAAATCAATCTCTAAAATCAATATCAATGATTAAAAATGAATGCAATTATGCACACTTGCTACCGAAGAAACGCCCTTTCTGGCAAAAATTAACAAGATACATCCATCCACCACTTCAAAAAACGATTAATATTTTTACGGTTTGAACAAATCTCAAAAACACAATTTACCCAACTGCTTTAGTAAGCCTTTAGCACTCGCACTCGCGTATTTGCACGATGCAGGCAAATGTTTCAGCTGAGACTCATCACAGAATAATATTTATTTCAAGGTGGTTAAACTTAAAATTAAATGTTTGCGTTAGAATCTCCCTTTAATCAAAGGATGACTATAGACATATAAGAAATATATTTTTTTACTTTAACAAGAGTAGTTTAATTAAACCAAAGATTACACTTCTTATCCAAAGCCTGTTTTAACGATATATTACACCGATAATATGTTGCTACATTAAAGTCACCATATTTTTATTTAGAATTTTTAACATTAAAAGCATTATTTGATGGTAGTACCCATTGTATACTACCAATTTAGACTAAACTTTTTTTTGCGGTTTCTAAATTTACGACATAACGGGGGGTGGTTAAAATTAATCCAGAACATTTGCATGGGTATTGTTCTGCACCAGTAAGCAGTTTGTCCCGCACTAATTTACATTATCTTTACATTACATTACGACAAGTAAATAAATAACACTATATTTCAATTCAATATTCTGTGTTGTAGTATTAAAAAAAATGAAAAGGGCTTAATACATATTTTCCTATTTGACACAACCAACTCTGAACCCAACCCAACCCCGTCCACCAAAACCAAAAAACACCAAAAATAAGTAAATACTATTTTTCAAAAGCAAACGGCATAAATAAGTTTTGATCCCTTGAAGCTATTATAACAGGGCCAGATTATCCCATAGGCTAAGTAGTCTAGGGGCCTAATGCTTGCGGGAGCCCCTGAAAAAAAGAATAAAGGCAAATACCTGAACAAGAAGAATTAAACATTTTTTTCTTCAGTTATTATTATACAAATCACGTCAACGCAGGACCTTAATAATAATATTTATTAATGTATTAAAGTTCATTCAAAGTCAGTTAATTAATAATTTTAATAATAAACTGCACTATAATAGAATTACCTACAGTAAATAACTTACATACAAAACACTTACATTACAGGTCATTACATTACATTATCTTGCACGAACTATTGGCTATTATAATAAGCTTTTTTATTAACTAAAGCTTTAAAGTTTTTTAAATTTATTTGAAGACAGTAATTGCATGGTAATAGGGAGTTTGTTTAAAAACATGGAACTGTAATATGTATTTCCAAACGGCTGGATGTTAACCTTAATATTTTAAGATATTTCTTATCTTTATGTATGTATGCAAGAGCGGTTTTTGTAGCTATCGTTTAACAAGGCCTAACAAGTACATTTCAGCATGTATAAACTAGGAAGCGTTAATATGTTTAGTATACCAAATTTACCTTATCGTTATATTTAAAACATTGACAAATTCTCGTTATGGATATTACATGATACATGTATTATTATTATTATTAGTAAAAAACCTAATACGGAAAACAACACTCCTTTAAAAAGTATTTAGCAAGTCTTGAAAATTATACATTATGGAGAACGACTCCTATGATTGGCGAATTCGTTCTATTTCTGCAGATTTAATATTTTTGAATTGTTTGTAGTTCTATGAAATCATGCATACAAAATATTTAAATTAGGTTTGTGGTTATTTTTTTTTTAGATGTAGAGTCAGCTGGTGATGCTATGGTCGAAAATATAATCAGAAGAGATGCAATGGACGAAGTATTTATTGAAAACGTTCGTATAATTAATATTGATTGAAAGAAAATCACAATTACATTATCTACCACGCAATCGTCTGATAGCATCCTTCTTTTCAGAAGTGGGAGATACTTATTACCTTTGAAGTGAAGTTTTGTGTAAGTGCCACTTTACGTTCTGCGGTATCGTTGACAAGTTTAAATGAAATATGAGTGATTTTAAACTATTGCAATCTTTCCATTCTTCAGCATTTTGTTTTAGAAAAGAATTATTTTCGAAACCGAGAATCTTCAAAACCCTGTAGCTGTTGACTGAATTTTTTTACGTCTGCAACATCTAATTAAGCTTGGTTCCCACTACATTGGTACTGAGAAAAATTTTCAAAGTTTGCCTTGTAAACAACGCAAGGAAAATCGACTCAAGAGGTACCTTAGTAACGAGAACATTTTTTCAAATTTTTTAATGGTATAAAATATGCAGGTTTTATCAGTAAGATGAAAAAACACGACTCCATATACTATTTTATTGCGAGGCTATGTATAGAAGTAAATATATTGGGGAACCACTTTTCGGAAGCAACTGGCTATAAGCAATGTGGAAAGTGGAATAAAAGGAACTATAATATCACATTTAAAGCATAGTAATAAAGTCTGGTAGCAACCACATCGTAATCTATCTATTCTAACAAATATAACATGCATATTTATACTTACTTTAGTAATAAAATGTGAATAGGGCAAAAATGTTTGTATACTACAATGACTAAGCAATAATGCTATAACAAATCTATTTTTCCAAGTTATTTTTTTTGTGTATTGCCTTTTTATTTTATTACATGTTTCATGTTTTGGTAATTTATGGTCAATTTTAAATATACGTAAAAATAACTTCTTAGGCCAGTCTTCTTTACAAAATAATGGCATTGTTGCTAAACATACGTAAGGGAACATTCCTAGAAATAAAATGGTAGTTTATTATATTATAACACACATAACACCATTTTTATAGGACGATTTTAATTAACATTTATTTAATTAATTTTTTTTAAGTTCCTTTAAAATTAGCAAAAAAAAATTGTTTTAAACAATAAATAAATATCATAAGGGTTTTAAAACAACTTTGGGCCAGTTTTTCAATATGATTTAATCCGAGGTTTAACTTCAAACCCCGAGTTAAATTTGGAGTTAACTAAATTCGCGTTTTTCAATTCATTTTGATCCCCGAGTTTATATTAAACTCAGAGTTACTTTAATTCCCAGAAAGGGTATGAGTTAAGTAAGAATTAAAATAAAAAGAGGTTATATATCGTTCTGTTGTCAGTGTTGTGTAAAGTGATAATGTGGGACTATGATGTAAATGCCTATAGTAGTGACGAAGAGGACTTTAGAAGACCAAAAGTTATTCGTCCAAGTATAAATCATTTTGAAATGTGGGACAATATTGATTTTCTAACCAGATTTCGGTTGTCTCCAAGAACGGTAGAAAATATTTTAGAAGAAATTGTTGATGTAATACAATACCCTACAAACAGGTGAGAAGTTTATTTAGCAAAAAGTATTGCAAGACGGCTCTCAGCTTATTGAGTTCTTCTAAATGTCATATTTTAATTTTGTTTGTTGTAGAAATGACGCTCTATCCGCGGAAAACCAATTGTTGCTTACCCTGCGGTTTTACGCCACGGGTTCTTTCATTCGTGTTGCTGGGGACTTTTCCGGCGTATCACAATCAACCGCTAGTAAAACCATCGCACGAGTTAGCAGTGCTTTAGCTGCGTTGCGTCCCACGTACATCAAAATGCCGCACACAGAAGACGAAATTAGCGAAATGAAGCAAAAGTTTTTTAACCTTGCTTCATTTCCGCGGTGCATAGGAGCTATTGACTGTAGTCATGTAAAGATTCAATCTCCAGGCGGACTAAATGGAGAAATTTTTAGAAATAGGAAACAAATTTTTTCTATAAACGTGCAGACAATCGCGGATCCCGATCTGAAAATATCAGATATTGTTGCAAGATGGCCAGGATCTACGCATGATGCTCATATTTTCCGAAGCTGCTCTGTTAAACGTTCTTTTGAACAAGGGCGTTTTGGAGATTCTGTACTTGTTGCTGACAGTGGGTATGGCGTTAAATAATACATCTTAACCCCATTACGACAGACAAGAAATGAGCCAGAAAACCTGTACAACGAATCTCAAATACGAACGCGGAATGTTGTAGAAAGATCATATGGAGTTTGGAAACGGCGGTTTCCAGGTTTAGCATTAGGCTTGCGTCTCAAAATGAACACAATCTTGGCAGTTATTGTTAGTACTGCGGTGGTAAATGAGATGGAAGCCGCCGCAATAGAGATGGTTAATAACAATCCCCCAAACGACGATGTGGCAGTAGCTGTAAACCGAGGGGGGGCAGAAAATATCACGCGACATAATTTAATATACAATTATTTCGCTCGTTTGTAAGTGAAGTAAAACACAATAATTCGAATAAGAGATAACAAAACTTTATTTTCTGTAAATAAACAGCCAACCTAAACTAAATCTTTGTCTAATTGCCCAGGTACTTTGGTAATAAAACTAGGAACAAATAACAAAACTAGGAACAAATAAACTTACGACTAGAAAAAATAAATTTGCAACTAAAAGAACAAATAAACTGAAAATAAGAAAATAAACTTGAAACTAGGAACAAATAAAATTTGATATCCGATAATCCGCCAACTGAAACCGAAACCGAGTTCTGTCGAAAACCTAAACACGTTTCGGTCGTCGTCGAAGACGTACAGTCTGCTTTTGTTGCATCTGTAATTGATTTTTTTTTAATTTTATAATCAAGCCGTAACACTTTCATTTTCAATGCATGCTCCTGCAAACAATTTTCTTTTTGCAGTTTAACAAATCCAATTTCGTCTTGAATTCGCTGTTCGTTCAGCCGTACAGGTTTGCGCCCCGTCAACGGCTGGGTAGTACCCATGGCTTTCTTGCGATTTCCTAATTTTTTATGCATTTTACTTTTTAGCATAGCTGGCGAATATGATGACCACTTCAACTGCATGTTGTTGTCGTCATTAGGCTCGGTTTCCTGCATAGCAGCATTCGGCTGGGGCAGTTGTAAAACATTTTGAGAGGACGAAGGTTGGTTCTTCTCAGTACCAATAGAGCTTCGACTTCCTCTGCGGCTAAAATATATTCTTTCACGTCAGTTTCTCCATATGCTTCTTCTCGCTGTTCTACTTCTTAGATTATCACTGCGTCACTGTCAAAATTATTATTTAATCCTTCAACAGCTGCTCCTCTTAATAGCTCCGTCACCTTAACTTCCACCGGGGTAAGTATTTTTATATCTGCGAATCCTCCGCCCGTTTTTGTTATCTCCATTTTATTGTCAGCACACTGGTGTCTTTCTTTAAATTTTTGTACTTGGCTTTCAAGGACTCCACCGACCTAAACGTTTCCCCGCTTGTGCAATTAAATTCCTTTCCAATTTTTTCCCATACAGATTTTTTGTCAGTCCATTTAATTTTCCCACTTTGCTTGAATTCGATAACGTGGGCATATTTACCTATAATGTTTATCAGTTCCATCTCTTCAGACGAAGAAAAAGTTGTAGATCGAGCCTTTTTTTGGGCGGTTCAGTATCACATATAGGCTGACCTGGAAGGAACATGTCAACAGGGTCGTCCAGAGGGCCACTCATAGCCTATGGGCATGCAGAAGGACCATTGGACGCACCTGGGGCTTACAACCCCACATAGTGCACTGGCTTTACACAACAGTCATAAGGCCAATGATCACATACGGCAGCCTTGTTTGGTGGAATGCCTTAAGCAAGCCCACCTACAGGAAGAAGATGGACAAGCTCCAACGATTTGCCTGCATGGGCATAATTGGAGCTTTTAGAACCACTCCAACATTGGCAATGGAGGCCATACTGGGACTGGCGCCTCTACATCTCTTTGTGGAGGCACGGGCTCGGGAGGCCTCGGTCAGACTCAATGATTGGGGACAGTGGACTCACGGGGGAGGAAACTCAGGGCATGCAAGGGCCTGGACTGAGACTATCAACCGGGACCCCCTTCTCACAAGAAGGGATGCAATGCCAAAGACGTCTACCCCCCTCAGGAGATATAAAGTTGTTTTTCCCTCCAGAAACGATAGGAGCGAGTCTAACCCAGGCTTTCTCAAACCGGAAAGGCTCATCTGGTACACAGACGGGTCTTTAATAAAGGAAGGTGCAGGAACTGGTGTATATGGAGAGCGACCTGGGGCGAGAATAAGCCTTGCACTAGGTCGATACCCAACGGTATACCAGACCGAAATCTTTGCCATCCAGATATGCGCCCAAGAGAATCTCCTGAGAGGCTACTCGGGTAAACATATCTACATATGCAGCGACAGTCAAGCAGCACTCCGGGCTCTTCACTCGGAGAACGTCAACTCGAGACTTACACTGGACTGCATAAAAACCCTCGAACTACTCAGTGTGCTCAACAAGGTTAACCTTATCTGGGTACCGGGTCATCGAGGCATCAGAGGTAACGAGGAAGCAGACCAGCTGGCTCGTGAGGGCAGCAACACGGCCTTCACGGGGCCAGAACCTGTCATAGGGGTCGCCTCCTGTCTGGTAAAAACCAAGATCAGGAACTGGACTAACGACCAATGGGCCGTATGTGTGCCTAAGTGCTGCCTGCAAAGGCTCCCCTTCAAATCAATCAATCAAATCAATCACATATAGCAATTTATTACACGACATCACTGCTTTCAAATAAATATAATAAATTGCAGCACATTTTCCACTAAATCAAAAAATAAACTCACCGTAATCTTAAAATTGTAATCAATAAATTTAATGATAATGATCACACTACACTCGTGACAGAGTCAAAAATGACGTTGGCGTGCAGCCGTTATCATGACAACGCATTACCAACCTTACAAATTTTATACAAACCTAGAGTTGATAAATCCTCACTATAATTGTAATTGAAAAACCCAAACGCGACCTAAACTCGGAGTTGACTTAAGTCAGAGATAAGCCAGAGTTATTCAACTCTGGATTTAACTAGCCTATTGAAAAACTGGCCCTTAGTATTCTATTTAATGAAAAAATTATATAGTTTATTAAGTGAGCAACAAAAAACCTATTAGATTTATTTTATGGATTAGTTCAATGATTGCCAAAGTTATAAGTACAAGTTTTGTGTGTTGATACACACATATCTGTGGAAGAAGTTGGAATTAAAGGTATGTACAATTTCACTAATCATAGGTTAGTTTACTTTAAAGTTAACTTAAATATGATTTTAAGTTTGATATGAGAACAGTGGATTGGCAGGCATTAGATTTAAACATCCGTGTCAACCTTTTTAATGAAATTGTTACTAGTATATTTAATAAGTATGCACCTATAAAAAAGGTACATATTAAACACAAGTCAAAACTTTTTTTATCTCTAAGGGTTTCGCTGTTATTTTCTTTAGAAGTAAAAATGTTTCCGGGTTTTAAGCCGCGAATCATTGTAATTTGGTTTGACGTTTCGACAGCCATGTTGCTGTCTTCTTCAGAAAACTGAAACTAAAGAGATTGGATCGGTTCCCGTCTTTATATAGGTGTTTTTTGGTCCGCTGGTTGGTGTTCCGGTGAGTGATTTCATGCACCAGTTGTTGTGTGCTCACCTGAGGTTTCCGGATTACTAGTCCGTGACGTACCGGTGTTGCGAAACATGTTCTTCCAAATGGGGCCAATTCGATCCCTTGGTCTCTGTTGAAGTTCGAGAATTTTTGAATATCTATAGATTCTCTATATATTCTCGGCCAAAAATTATTACACCTAGATAGGACTCTTGTTTGGTCAAATTTTATGGAATGTCCAGTGTCCAGTGTTCTGCAACCGCTGATCTTGTGCTCTTTCTTCTTCTATCTGCTTTATGTTCCCCTACCCTGGTGCTGATGTTTCGTCCTGTCTGGCCAACGTATGCTTTTCCGCAGGAACATGGAATGTGATAAATGCCTGGGCCATCCAATCGGTTCCGATTTTCTTTGGTTCTTGGGTAGTAGCCGCCAATTTTATTCGAGGCATTAAATACAACCTTGATGTTGTTGCGTTTAATGATCCTTGCTATTTTGTCGGTGCAACCTTCTATATAAGGTAAAAAAGTTGTAGCCACTGGAGCTTCCTTGTCTCGATTTTTCTTTCGCTTCTTCTAGATTGCTCTTTTAATATCCGCTTCCTTGTATCCATTCATTTTCAGGACTTCCGTGAGATGGTGCAATTCCTCTTTTAAATGATCTGGCTCGCTAATTGTTTTGGCTCTGTGAATGAGGTTATTAAGAACTTGTATTTAATGCCTCGAATAAAATTGGCGGCTACTACCCAAGAACCAAAGAAAATCTTTAAATAGCGATTATGGACCGGTATACCGGTACCCAACTCTAGTTTATATAAATTAGTTTGTTAGTTTCTCTTTACGTGTTCACTGAAGCGGTTACGGTCCACAGTTTAGTAAACTGTGTTTGTTTACAACTCAATCAACCTTAGTTGATAATAATTATTATTATAATTACTAATTATCTGACGTTGCCAACATCTTTGGCGAAAAGTAGTTTAAGCACTTTTGTTGGTTTTGTTTGGTGTAGGGGAATATTTCTAATATTTGTTTAACATATCACCAAAGTTGTCCTTTTTCAAGTTTTATTTTTATGGTTGAGGTGGTAATTAATTGCAATATCAAAAAAGTGAAAAAAAAATATTATATTAAAGTAAGTAAAACATTTTTTATTGAAACTATACATTACAATGGTTTCTAAAGTCCCTTGAAAATGTTTGTCAAATGAATCCCAAGACTTAAATAATAATGTGGATGCAGCAAAACTAAACACAATAAAACTATTTAAGAAAATTATGTCTATGGTTACAAATGTAAAGGATTGTAAGGTCGTAATACAGGCTTTGGTGCCACTGCCCCATGTTTTATCGAGCAATGTTTTCATAAATACTGATTAGGGGGGGTTGAAAACAAAATGTTTATTTTTTTTTCTTAGCATGGGGGTAGAATTTGTACCTTATACAAAAAAAAAATTTTAAAAGAAAAAAAATTTTACTCAACATCTTGAGGTTTTTTAAATAAATATTTAATGAAATGGGGTAGTTCCAACGGGAAATTTTTTTTGGTCCAAAATCGTGGAAAACATGTAAAAATTGTAGAATGTGATTTTTTTCACTCAACTTTCATTCTAATACAAAAGAAAGTGCATTTCATTTTTTACTTAAATTACAAAAACAACGGGAAAAAAACTTTTTCAACTTTTGACTTCCAATTGGCTTTTAAGGGGACACCCTACAGATTCTAGAACGAAAAAAAGAATTTTCCGTTGGAACTACCCCATTTGATTAAATATTTATTTAAAAAACGGGCCCACCTCAAGATGTTGAGTAAAATTTTTTATTTTTTTTTAATTTTCTTGTTTTATATGTACAAATTCTACGCCCATGCTAAGAAAAAAAAACAAACATTTTGTTTTCAACTCACCCTAATACTGATGTCAGACTGTACATTTAAATAAACATAAAAAAGTCTGAAACCATCTAACAGCAAAAAAATATTGCAATAGGTTTATTTCATAATGCTTTTTTGTTTAGTGCAATAATTATAATAATAATAATAATTATTAGTTTGTCTGTACTGATGCAAAACCAAATGATATAAAAGATAAAAGATACGTCTTTTATTATTAGTATTATAATCGCTGATTTCAATATGTGCTCTTTTTTCCACGTATTTTTAAAATACTTTTACTACTTCATTCGTAAATTTTCTTTATACTTCTTTTTAATATTTTCTTTTTCTTTGTGTGATGGCTAGACGCTAGTCCGTATCAGTGGCGGCTCGTCGTATAAAGCAACTGAGGCCGGGCCTCACATGTTAAAATTATAATATAATTTGAAATGTTCGATACATTACTTATTTAAATATAAAACGTTTTTAAACTAATTTCCAGTCATTAAAAGTATCAAAACATCGAATAACCATCAAAGTTTAAAATATTTCCTTTAAATTAAGCGCGCAATTCTAACCGCTTAAATTATTGCCCTATAATAGGGAAATAGTAATCCCAAAAATTTGCGCTTCATATACTTCACACATCATGCTCCCCACCGCTGCACGGTGCCGCCGGCACCCCCGCAAGGCGGGGATAATTTTTGTAGACATTGAGGCCCACAAAGTTGGGCTTGTACCACAGTATATGGAAGACAGCAGAGTCAGTCCCGAGATCTGTGCGGCTCGCTTATCAGCCGTTGTAAAAGACTGGGCGGGGCGTGGAATGTTATAGTAAACAAAGCTTATTAATTAGATCTATGCGTGTTTATAGTTTCTTATTTTCTTATTTCTGTTTATTCTTTGCCTTAGCGTTAAAATGGAAAGTGGTGATAAAAATGCAAGGTAAAATACATTATTGCGTTGTGAATTCATGTAAAAATAATTCAAATAATTATAAAAGATCATTTTTATTTTAATATACTATTATATTAACAAACAAATACCATAGTAAAACTCACAAAAAATATAAATAAAAATATTCATGTTTTTTTATAGTTCAGTGTTAAATCGTTGAGTTTCAAATACCTACTGTGCTTGTACATTTTGTTGTTGTGCGGTTGTGCCTTTATTAATCTAAAAATAATTTTTGTAATAAAGGTAAAAATGAGCAGTACCTACCTCCTGGGTAATGTGGAAACCTGCTGAAGAAATAAATAAAAATCCCACCTCATCCCGCACTTTTTGTATTATTCTAGCTAAATTTTAAAAATTCTTCTCGTAAAAGAACACATATTTTTAATTTAGATTCTGAAGTGCTCCAAAAACGCGAAATCTTGAAAATTTCAAAAAAATTGCCTGCGGCGCCATAGGCCTCACCTTCATGAATGGTCACGAGCCGCCACTGTTGCGTGTATCAATTCTAAGAACCGAACGGCTTATCTTTATAAACCATACCTATATTAGGCACTTGATAGATTTGTTGCGCAAAGGCGTGGGACCATTAGCATGTGCTAACTCTTACTATGTGGCTACTCCGGCATTGGATATAGTTATATATAATTATACTATTATTAAATGTAACGAGGTGCTCCCTTATAACATATCCTAGTAAAAAAATTCGAGGGTATTTATTGTTTATAACGCCTTTTGTTATGATTTTAAGCGAAAAGTTTTAATTGTAGGGAGAGAAAAAATAACTCCCTCTAAAAAAATTATTTTGACCCTAAGGTACCTTACTCAATCTTCTTTACATATTACTTTATTTACTTACCTATACTAAATAATCTTGAATTCATTAAATGAAAAGAAGCACAAAACAACATCGCTATAGGCCTCGTCTTATCTAATAACATCCAAAAACCAATTGTCAAATCCAAAATAAATCCAAACCAATGTACTATAAAAAAATCAATTTGCTCCCCAGTAAAGAAAGACCTAGAATGAAAAATATACATACTTAAATACTATTTATATCCCACAACAAGAAAATAATTATAATAGTTATTTATTTTGTCAGGCTAAGAAATAAGTCTTTTTGTGCTGAGCTCAAAGTTGAAAGGTCGACGCGTAGCAGAGGCCTACAATTGTGCGAAGCACAAAAAGACACTTCCCAGCTGAATGGCATACAATTTATTTTCAAGGCACAATTTTATATGTTAAACGAAACATAAAACGTAAAACAATTATTATAATAATAATTATAATTAATAAAAGTAGACAGTAAGGTTAGATAGATCTGACAGTGGTCGATTTTTTTATTGGTCCAAAAGGGTTTTTTACAGACTGAAATAAATATTTGTTTTTGTTTCTTCTTTTAAAAATATAATTTTTTTCAAAAACATGTTTTATTTATTTTATAAAAAAAAAGAATCTAATAACCTATTTAAATTTAATTTTGAACTTATTTATTATAAGTTATACAGTTGACATGGTGATTAAAAAAATGTTTTCTGGAAATTCATAAAGGATAAACGGATTCTCGAAGAGTATAAAAATTAAATTTCCCTAAGAATTAAGTCCCTCAACGCAATTATTAATTTTTCGGTGTAGTGCACTTATCGAAAACATTAGTTAGCTTTATATTGTTATAAATTAAAAATCTTTCCCGCCTTACGTAAGTAGGCTACTTTAAACTATTATTACAGACTAAGCAAATGTACTTATTAGGTATAACAACGAATTGACGAGAAGCAGAAATAACCAACTTTATTGTGTACAACATTCATTTTCAACCCTTTAATACTTCATGCATTACATGGCGATCCTGCTATTTCTGATTGCAGATCAGAAGACTCTAGGATTTATTTTAATTCCAAAGTCTTCTGATCCGCAGTCAGAAATGTATAACAGTGCTAATTCCATCCAAATTTGCCTAATAACAAAATGGGTAAAACGAACTTAAAACACAGCAAATTAACTGATACCGTATACGTAAAATCTTATTTTATAATAATAATAATAATAATTTATTCATCCTTTTTTGACCTTTACAAGATATAGGACACATCACAGATGGGGCTCTAACCCACAGGCCTATTGCCTGGCCACTTAAATAACAAATAACAATATAATAACATAACAACTAGTGTTAAAAATCAAAATCAAGGAACTCATTGATACTATAGAAACAATGTTTCAACAAGAGTGTTTTTACTTCAATTCTAAATTTGTTCAAAGACATACCTTTAAATCTACTGTGTAAGTGGTTGTATAACGTGATACCCATAAATTTAGGACACCTCTCGAATTTAGATATTCTGTGAATAGGAATCTCTAGAATATTGGCATGTCTTGTATTATATCTGTGATGCTGTCCCAGTCTAGTATACTGGTTAATGTTTTTATGCACATAATATAGCATCTGAAAGATATACACGCATGGAAACGGTAGTATTTTAAGTTTCTTAAAAAGTAGCCTACATGATGTTAGGTAGGAAACGTTTTCAATAATCCTTATAGCGCGTTTTTGAAGTAAGAACACTCTGTTTGCCTCTGTTTCACAACCCCAACATATTAGACTATATGATAAAGTAGAGTGTATTTGTGCAAAATAATATATTTTGTTATATAAATAGTTAAGGACTCAATTAAAGTGCCAAGTGATGACCGTGTTTTGCTGTATATCATCATTTGAACTTTTGTTACTCTTAGTATTAAAAATATAAAATGCATATCAAAGAGGACTAAAGAAAAACCTATTTTCTAGGTTTAGATCGTAGGCTGGTGAAGTTTAAAGTTAAGTGTTCCCAAATAAAGGTGCGAGAATGCCAAAAGTACCAGACTACAATCTAACCTTTAATCCAAAACCCACTTCATGATAGCCGTTAGTCTACCTCATGGATGTTAGTAACGTTTGCTATGAAGATCTATTTCCCTCGTAGCGCATCTCTATAGAAGCCCCCCCCCCCCCAACAAACTGCTGTTCCAAAGGACCAGAAATATCCTTCCCTTCGGATGCAGTTCGTTAGTGTGTGATTAAGGTGCGTGCTATCAGTTTAACAACCTTTCGAAAAACACTTTAATTAGGGATTTTAATCATATATAAAATTTTAAAGTAGAGCAAGTTGTGGATAAATAATGTTACGAAAGTTATTTTAAAAGAAAAACTTATCTAATATTAATAATATCAAATATTATGTCATAATATAGTAAATTTTTTATTTTATTTTTTACCCTTTGATGAAACAAAGTTACACATAATTAAAAAGCTTTTTGCGACAGTTAGATATAGATTAGTAAAAGCAAATCAAGTTTTAAGGGTGGATTATAAAATTTCTAGCTCATGTCTTAAATGTTTTAACCCTAATATTAAAGACGAGATATTTGAAATTGACATTAAAGGACTTAGAACTAGAGGATAATTCATAAAATAAATTAACAAATATAGACGACAAAACAGAAGCACTTGCAATGGCTACGACAAAACTAGTTAATCTAACAAGTAGAATTTTACCAAGCGAATTTATTAAATTATTTTGCATTCAACATTTTCCAACATAAACCAAACAAAAAACTACTGAGCCTAGTTTAACCGATTAAATTCATAGTTCTCATGATATAATATATGAATATATTTTTTGTGTTGCTGTTTTGAGCTAAACTTTTTGCATCTTTGTTTGTTTTTATGAACCATTTAACCATGAAGCCTATATGCATTTACAATAATAATTTGTTGTTGGCCACAAACGATTAAATAAATTAGTTACTTTTAACTCCCAGAAATACTAAAAAATGATGACTTATCTTAAATTAGTCAAACTTTAACTATTAAAGTAGTAAAAAATAACTATTTTAAAGAAAAAACGAAAAAAAATACTGGTACTAATTCAAATAGTAGAATTTTGACTATTTCATTTTAAGAGAGTAACCTATTATAAAATTTAATATACCTACATTAATTCCAAGCTAAACAACTAACACCTAGCTAAATTATTAAGTTAAAATGTAAAAAAAAATATATTTACTGAAATGGCATAAACACCCAATGTGATCCTAAGTTTGTCATAGAGTATCCCTCAAGCCACTCAAAATCAGTTTTTTTTAATCCAGCCAAAAAGTATAACATAAAAAACTGAAATTTTAAAATAAAATAGTTCCAATACGGAACACTCATATTTTTAATACTTTTATCAAGAAGGGAATCAACAGACCTAAAAAAATATTTATTATAATATTAATTTCATAAAATAATTATCAAAAATACTTTACATAAAATTAGTTGCCGAAGAACCCAATAATAATATTGTAACAACACCATATAAATAGCTATGGTTATTCCAATAAGATGTGTCAAGAAAAAGTAGGTACCAATAAGGTAATCCAAAAAGAATTACAAATAACTTAATTTTAAATCCAACCATGATGCCAAATGCCCCTGTAAACAAAGAATATTTTTTAATTAAACTTTTAAATTGTTTTCATCTGAAAACGTACATTCAGGTGTTTATAAAATCGATTTAATTTAATTTTAATTTTAAACTGTCATGAAGTATTAAGAAATCAATTAAATTTTATATAAAATGAGAGGTAATCCGATTTCTCAGTTGATTGTGCAAAAATCAAGTGGGTTCATAAAATTACCAGATTGCGATATGCCACGAACTTAGGTAATTTTTTAGGATCCAGATTTACATCAGAGTGAGATAACCATTATTTGGATACCATTATTTTAGACGTCTTAAAACAATGTTAACCGAAGAATAGCAGTAATAGCCGTTTAAAGTAATTTTTGCGATCATCTGAATGGTTGTATCGACAAATACCATAAGAAACAGTGTTTCGTCTTCGCGAAATATTTAATATTTGTTTAATTTTTATTATATTTATTTAAATATTACAACGCGCATGTTTACCGTAACTATTTTTAATTAATTATTTGACCGCGTGATTGAGGGCGTAAGTGTATTAGCATGTAAGAATTCGAACCGCAAGCTTCGACGCAAAAAACAGTGATCTACCACGCGACATTATACCCACTTTATCCCGCTTGTGCATAGCAACCGCTTGAAACCATCGCTAACAGCCTAATTGCCAGAAACCAGACCAGGGCCCTGAGTGTCGTGAAAGGTTCAAAATATGTAATTTTTTGCCATTTTACAATAAAAATCTGAAGAAAAAGCCACCTTAAAATTTTTATTGTTATTGCTGTGAAAACAATTTAATTTACCTATCCACATAATTCCATACAATAAAGTCATGTATTGATAGGGTAAAGGCCTAAATACCGAAAATAATGGAAAATGACAGTCCTTTGGATTACCCCATCTTAAATCGATACTTGATCCTCCTCTTTCTTCTATTATATCCATTAACATTAGCATACCTACAAAAGATAAAATAAATCAATATACCTAGTTTATATTTAATTAAATCATATTTTGTTTAAACAACAACAACACCAAAATAAAACAAAAAGTACTTTTCGCCAATGATGTTGGCATCTTCAGAAGCAAAGTGTAACTAAATCTAATGCTAAATCTACCATAAAAAACGGACACAGTTTACTAAACGGTAATCGCCTCAGTTAACACGTAAAGAGAAACTTAAAACTAATTTATACAAACTAGAGTTGGGTACCGGTCCGTTATCGCTATTTAAAAATTTATTTCCATTCTTATAAATGTATAAACTTTCATAACTATCTAGCACACTTGGTTTCCTAACTTCCTTAATAAGTTTAAGGTTGTCAAATCCTATTATATGACCATCATCATAGGGGCAACACTCGATTTCTCTGTCCTACCAAATCTAGCATGGGCCAAGTGCTCTTTGAACTTAACTTAGATGGTTACACTATTTTAGTAAAAAATTATTTGTGACTTTATTAATTGGGGTAGAGCTCCAATCTGTTTTTTAATTTGCTCAGAAATAAATATGCTTTGCAAAAATTTAAAGAATAGTATATTCTGTAACAAGTTTGGAATACAGCATATTCCGCTCGAGTGAAGAGTTTGTCACACGAGCCGAAAGCGAGTTTGACGGTTTCACGAGAGCGGAATATGCAATTTCAAACGTGTTTCAGACTATACTTTTTCTACTTTTCCAAAAAATACCATAGAAAAATAATTTAAATGGAGGAAAGTGAGGTTGGATCGGTCTAAAACTTGTTAGATATTAAAACAGAGATGTCGCCACGAGTGTTTATTCTGTCATCAGATGATAGAATATTTCATTCTGTAACAATTTACGGAATATATGTCATTCCATAGATAAAAGTGATATTAGAAGGGCCAAATTCCGTAATAGGAGTAGAAAAAACAAATATATGTATACTAGGGTGGTCCAAAAAAGTGAAGTTGATTTTACAGATTGTCTCACCCCCCAATTTTGTTACCTCCAACATCAATAAAAAATTCCCAAAATTTTAGGCCCCTAGGTGTATTAGAAGGGAGTGCTCATTAGATAAGAGATTTCACTTTTTTTTAAATTTATTTAAAAAAAACATTACGCCATCTTTTTACTGGTTAGATAAAATGTTATGCCCTATATATTAATGTTACAATTACCAAAGAATATTATTTACCTAAACATATATTTCTTACATACTAGTTCAATCAGCTAATCCCGCACCTTTCCCTAAGAAACTAAAAACTACACTTTACAGTTTAAATGTCATAAGTGCTTTGGATAGGGAAAATGTCTCAGACCGTGAAGTTCTAAGGCTTATAGTACAGATTGCGATAGCACTGGGAAAAGATCCGCATGAAATGCCGTCTCGCAGCACTATTTGCCGGAGACGAAAACATGAAAGGAAGAAAAGATATGAAACAAAGTTTTTCTTGTCAAGGTTTAGTTTTTGTTCATTGGGATGGTAAAATTCTTCCTGATTACCACTGCTTAACTAAAGTAGAACATTTATCAGTAGTAGTTTCAGCAGATGGAATAGAAAAGTTATTAGGAGTACAGCAAATGAAGTCGGAAACGTACTTCGAGAATGAAATCTGGTGGATAAAGTATAAGGAATGTGTTTTGACACAACATCTGTAAATACTGGAATGAAGAATGGATGCTGCGTTTTGCTTGAGAAAAAATTGGGAGATACTTACTTTGGTTAGTCTGCAGTCATCATGTTTTGGAAATAATTCTTAGTAAGGTTTTCAAGTTGTGCTGCTTTCCGGATATTCCAATTTTTAATCGATTTAAAATAATTTGGGTACCTATTGATCGTATCTGCTTCAAGTCCTCAGACCTAGAATCGTCGAAGAATTTTGAATTTTACAAAAACTCCCCAATCCCCTTGTTGCTAGCTGCATTGAAACAAAAGTCTCAACGTTATGACGACTACTTGGAACTGATCGAGTTGGCTTTGGTCGTTTTGGTGAAATCTGGATCAAGGCACCGTGTGCCACTAAAGCTACTATGTCCGACCTAACTTTTTGGAAAGATTTAGAACGCTATGAGGAGATTGGGAAAAGCGAGGTTGCTAGAGAATCTCTGAAACATCATCTTTGGTACTTATCCAATGAACTCGTAATAATTTTAATACCAACAATAATAATAATAATAATAATCATAATATTAATATGGCCTTTGTCTACGCAATAAATTATTTCTTACTTATATTTTTTCAAGGTCGACTGTGTGTTGTAAACTTCGAGTTGTAAATGATGTAGCGGAAAGATGGGTAAAACTATTTGAAGAGCATAATCAATTATAAAAAATGAGGACGAAAAGCAAGACTTGTTACAAATCGTAGAAACGAATCGGAAATCTGTTCCGACAGAAACCACAAAAAAGCTGCAATTTATGCTACTAAGAGTTCTGGACCATGATTTTCATGTGGATATATTGTCTTCAGATTCATTCTATCATAGCTGTGAGCACTCCCTTCTAATTAAGCTAGAGGGTTCAAATTTTCTAAAATAACTTTTTTTACTTTATATAAAAAAATTAGAGGGTGAGAATAAGTCTATTTACAACTTCACTTTTTTAATTCGTTTCTGGACCACCCTAATGTATACCTTATTTTCTCTTATAAAACATTAAATTTAAAAAATTACATAAAAAATATTTTGTGAATCTAGTAATTAAGATTGGGGTATTTTTTTTAATTTGCTCAGAAATAAATATACTTTATAGCGTTATAAACAAAAATGTATATTCATTTTAATTAAACTAAAAAAAGCTATTTTTTTTTCTTATCTTATTAATTTTTTACATTTATTTTATTATTAAAAAGATTTTATTTAATTTAACTTAGGCAGATACTATTTATAAATATAAAAAATTTGTAAATTGTAAATTTGTAAATTTATAATAAAAAACTGGAATTAAAATTTAAAAATTACAATTTTACCACATTATTAATGTTAATATAAAGAAAATTTAAATTAGCGCTCACCTTAAAAATCACAATTTGTAGATATAAATTAAATTTGCGCTGCTTTTGAATAAATAAATATATATACATATATATACACTGGCGAAAGAAATTAACGCATCACCATAAATTTATCATTATTTTGTTTTGATAACGATTTTTGGTAAAATTTTTGAAACTTACCTATTTTCCGCCTAAAGTACTTTCAAATAGCTTAAATAAATTTTTTCAGAATTTTTGCGCCCCCTAAAATTAAGGGTTGGGGAAGGGGACTCATAGGTCCCGTCAGGGCCAAACAATTTAAGAAAACATGAGAATTTGGAAAATTTATTCTTGTAATTAAAAATAATTTTAACGGTTTACATTAATACTGTGATAGTTAGCAAAACAATTTTTTTATTAATACACAGATAAACATTGCAATGGATTGAATGAGGTCGGGATTCGATGCATAGTGAAGAGAATTGCTCACATCTTGCACGTTTTTGGGTGAAAACTGGCCAATGGACACCTCTATTTCCAAGCCTCACATCGTTTGAGACGCTGTAATTATACACTGAAAGAAATGTTTCTATAAAACAGTATTGTTAAGACGAGTTTCATAAAGAAAATAAGAGGATTCTTAGTTAGAATCATATTCGTTTATGAAGTCAATAAGCTGTGTAGTAACTGTTATAATTTTGATTTTATTCCAGTTGTTTAATACTCGCTATAATCTAGATGCATATTGTTTATAAAATGTTTTCTTGCAGATATCATTTATTTTAAGTTATAATTTTTTTTATAAGAAATATAATATGTCTTATACTGTTTAATAGTCGTCTTTATACTCTAAGCTATATACGCACATGCGCTTGGTGCATTGTTTTGACCGCGAGGAATAAGTATCTGTGGGTGTAGTGTTTTGTTTATTTGTTGTGATAATATTTAGCTGGCAATTGTTAAGGGTAAGTTTTTGTAATAATTATACATCATGATAGGAGCATAAGCCTTAGTTTAATAAAGGTGTATGGCTTGATCTTGGAACAGCACAACGAGCTGAGCACGTGGACGCAGGTGCAGGTGCACAAAAACTGTTTTTATTGATTCCCATTATAATAATTTATTAATTTTTCATTATATAACATACGTAAATGTACAGGGTAAACTACGTAAGGTGACCCGTATACTTATAAGTATAATATATTAAATGGGTCACCTTACGTGGTTTACAAGGATATACTTAGATATCCTAGAAACTACTAAAGTCACAAAAAATAATAGCAACATTTGTAAAAATTAACCAATCAAGAGCAACATTATTAAGAAGTGTGGACATGGGAACATTTGGTTTAAAATTGTTTATTATTTATATTCTAAATTAAACTATATTTTATTTATTTATATTAATATATAATAACAATGTTAATATAGTATTAAAAATAAACTACCTACATAAATTTTTGTTTTCCAGACATTTTTTGAAGCAGTAGTTTCTGAGATAAGGGTCCCCTTACTTGGTTCATCCTGTATTCACCTACATATATATAATACCTATATTCCCCAAGAATGTATTATATGGCACGTACATAACATACATTTATAAGGTTGAGATTTTAAGTTAATTAGTTGATTAAAATTTACGATTTAAATCATGATTAAAATTATTAAAAAATAGCCCCCAAAACAAAAACAAACGATTTTACTAAATATTAAAAGAATACATTTTCCAAATAATAATTTTAAAAAATTGCAGTGACACGCTGTGGGGTTTTTGTAAGTAGGAATATTTTTACGCTTGTTTTATTTTATCCCTTGGCATTCTTTGTGAGTTTCGACATGCAAAATTTTGATTTACTTCAGTACTATTATATACCTAATTATGTTTATTTTATTTATTTATTGTACCTGTTTTTATAATAAAATTATAAAATTTATAGGAGTTGAACTTATATAACGACCCTTATCCTGTCAGCAAGTAAGTATAATAATTCTTATGAAAAATGCATAATTTCCTATATAAG